TGAGAATCAATTTCTCATTCACCCTCTACCATTTTTGGCGTATAAATTATCAAAATATTTATCTCATTTAAGAGAACACACGTCCATTAATTAACGGTTAAAACCGTTAGTGGACCTATTGACAAATATACCCAAGTTGGTCCATTTAATGCCTACTAAAATGCCAAAAATTCCAACAATCCCCCACATGAATGAAAAATTGATTTGGGGGTCGACAACATCCCACGGTTGAAAACCTGCAAAGAACATGTAAGTGTCTCCACTTTTGAACATGTCCCTTGTAAAGTATACCTTCTTTACTGGCTGTTCAGTAGAACGCGATGTCTTTGAACTGTACTGCCGCTTGTGTAAACGATAGTATACCATACACAGATTCCAACCAAACGCCGTTCTGTTCTCATGGTTGTGCCCATTTTGGTCGTGGGCCACGCGCCTGGTTCTGCGAGAGTGTTTAGAGGATTAAGCCCAAGATCCTCCGTTTGAAGCGACCACACTTCACTCTTACATAGGTGATTCTTTAAGAGTATCCCGATTACTCCACTTAGACCACCGTGTCTATTCTTTAAGAATCATTAAAGCATATTTATATGCTAACCTCATCATTTTCGAGAGTCACTGTCTTCAGCAGGAACAGAAGGGAGTGACCGGAGGTTCCGGTACCGCCCCCACAGTGACCATGCTTTATCCTACAAGTAGGTTGTCCCATTGAACCTGGGTACCAGCCAGGTTGGGTTTTCCTTCATAGGACTGTCCTAGCACTAGGGCTTCAAACCCATTCCTGCCACCAACTTCTCATGCAACTCATTTGTTAACCCTTTGGTTAGCGGATCCGCCAGATTATCCTTTGACTTCACATAGTCAATCGTGATAATCCCAGTTGTGAGAAGTTGTCTAATGGTTTTATGTCTACGACGAATATGTCTAGACTTACCATTATACATATTACTCTTTGCACGTCCTATTGCTGATTGACAATCACAATAGATGCAAACTGGTGGGACCGGTTTATCCCATCTTGGAATGTCCTCTAGAAAGTGGCGTAGCCATTCAGCTTCCTCACCACATTTGTCTAAAGCTATAAACTCAGACTCCATGGTGGACCTAGAAATCACGGTTTGCTTTGAGGATTTCCAAGATATTGCTGCACCCGCTAGCGTAAAGACATATCCACTTGTGGACTTCAAGTCTTTACTATCAGATATCCAATTCGCATCCGAGTATCCTTCCAGTACCGATGGATATCTCGAGTAGCATAATCCATAGTCACGTGTATACCGCAGGTATCTCATCACACGTACAATAGCCTTCCAGTGCTCATCACTCGGATTACTGGTGTATTTACTCAGCTTACTTATGGCACAGGCTAAATCTGGTCGAGTGCAACTCATTAGATATATCAAACTTCCAATAACTCTCGCATACTCAAATTGAGAGTTACTGGAACCTCGATTTTTAGCCAGGTGTACGTTAACGTCCAACGGCGTCTTTGCTACTCTAACGTCATCCTTGTTGAACTTGTCAAGGATTTTATCAATATAATGGGATTGGCTCAGTGCTAGAACCCCAGGTCTTCTCACAATTTTAATTCCAAGTATTACTTCAGCCAGACCCATATCTTTCATGTCAAATCGCGAGTTTAACATGTCTTTGGTAGACTTGACCATCTTGTCATCGCTACCAACTATGAGTATGTCGTCTACATATAGACACAACATGACATACCCTTGGGATGTGTTTTTTAGATAAACACACTTGTCTGATTCATTAATTTTGAACCCAGAGTTCATCATTACCTGGTCAAACTTCTCATGCCATACTTTTGGCGCCTGTTTAAGACCATATAATGACTTAACGAGTTTACAAACTTTCCTTTCTTGACCAGGAACTATAAACCCTTCTGGTTGTTCCATGTAGATCTCTTCTTCTAGATCTCCATTAAGGAAAGCTGTTTTCACATCCATTTGATGTACTTCTAAGTTCCGTAAGGAAGCTATTGCAAGTATCATCCTAATGGAA